TCTCTCTCTCTCTCTCTCTCTCTCTCTCTCTCTCTCTCTCTCTCTGTCAAATTTCTGCCATTGAAACTGCACCCTTTAGTTATGAAGTAATACATAATGGGATAACTATGAAACAATACTCTGAGAAAACAATTCAAAGCTGGAAACCCAGAGAATCAAACTAATACTACCCCTCAATACCCCAAAAGAAAAGTTGTATGTAGTGTGATGTAATGTTTATTTATATTAGTAAAGTATTTCTGAAGACATTTATGCTATAAATGACAATCCAAGATTTTACTGTGCCCATAATTTAAAAATTAATATTCAAGGTATTTTTAAAAGTAAAAGGCTTTAATGATTTATTCATTGAAAAGTTTAAACCAAAGGCAGCAATGTACAATTAAATCCTCTTCTTTAGTAATCTTAAACTTATACTTCAACATTTTAGTAAAATGTGAGCTCAATGGGAAAATGAGGCTTTTGTATTTATTTGTCCAATGCTTACCTAGCACAGTGTCTGGGATATAGTAAACAGTTAATAAGGGCTCATTGACTGATTCAGTGGATTTGAGATCTTGTTGAATACTCCCTCCAAAGGTGCAGATCTAAATCCAGCTGCACCTTTTTCTCCTGTAAGAATCTTGTCCCTTCTTCTGATAAATCCTACAGAAGAAATCAGCCCAACACACTGGAATTCTTCTAATATTTCATGGATGCCAGTGCAATACCTGGGCTGTCTCATCCTTTGCTGTTACTCCATGATTAGCAATGTTCTTTTCTAGTTATATCCAGGATGATTGATATCATTTAATCAATAAATAAACAATTATTAAGTACCTACTATTTGCCTGGCAGCCTCTGCTACCTTAGCAGTCACAGTTGCTGAAGACCTCAGAAAAGAAAGTTCATTGCACCAGAGTCCTTGGTGCTGTATAAATGGTCCAACATCAAAAATGGATTAGAAGAAAAAAACAGCGGTGATAAGGCTAAAGATGCAACGCCATTGGCCTTGTTGCTGTCCCCTCCCGCCCCAGGACCACTGGGCCTTTCCATATATCCTGGAATGGAAACTCCTGTATAGGTCCTACGCTTCTATTGAAATACGAGCTGCTTCAGAGCAAGGGCTGTCTGAGTTTTCTACTAGAATCTTGAGCACTTGACACAGTGCTTTACAGAGAGTAAGCACTTAATAGGTGCTTTTTCATTCATTCAGGCACTATGCTAGGTATGGAGGATACAAAGACAAAATTGAAACAATTCTTGTCACCGAGGAACTTAATTTTATTGGGGAGACAGCACGCATGTGTGTGTGTACATGTGCAAAAATTAAAGTCCTTTAAACAGTTTAGATGGAAATGTAGTAATTTGAAGTAGGAGCATTGAATTGAGAAATATAAGACCTATTATATATTTGTATATATGTTTAAAATAACTGTAAGGTTTATTTTTTTGGGGGGAAGGGTAAAGGTAGTACTGTCTAGAGATCATGAAAGGCCCTGAAGATAAACTTATCTGAACTTTTGAGGAAACCTGGAATTCTAAGATCTAAGAAAGGCCTGAGAGTTCGTGTGAGGTATAGAGAATGCCTTGTGCAAAGGCATAGAGGTGGAAGGCAGAGTATCATATATGAAGTTGAGCAAGAAGGCCAGTTTCACTATTTTATAGAGTTTGTGAAGGGGATTCCTATATGACAGGCTGTTAAGGTAGGGTAGAGCTACTTTCTGAAGGCCTGTTAATGCCAGACAAAGGGAGTTTTTATTTTCTCTTAGAGGTAATAAGGAGCCCTTGGTATTGAGTAGGGGAGTGACATGATCATACCTATACTTTAGGACTATCACTAGGAGCTGGATGGAGGATGTACTGGAAAAGAGAGATACTCAAGCAAGGAGAGAATTTAGAAGGCCATTGCAGTAATTAGGCCAATTGAAAAGTGATTAGGGACTGAAAAAGGGCCATAGCTTGGGCATAGAGATAAAGTGAAGAGTTTGGGAGGTGTTATAGAGGCAGAATTGATAAGATATGGGAACTGATTCACATAATTTCTTGTTTTCAAATACATGTTGGCAATATGCTGCAATCTACTTATGCCTTTTGTCATTGTCTTTTGGGTCACTTACAATTTTAATTCTCAGATTGTGATACTTTGACTTTCTCCCATTATGCACAATTGCCTCTGTATTAGGGAAATGCTTTCCCTCTTCACCTCTGCCTCCTAGATTCTCTAGCTTTCTTCAAGACTTAGCTTATCTCCCTACCTTTTGAGTATTTCAGAACAAACATAATCCAGCTAGTATACACACACATACACAAAGGTACATGCACATGCACTTACACATACACCCCCCTTCTCTATTTTCTGTATAATATATACTATATATACTGTATTATATATACTGTATATAGTATACCAGTATATATCCTAATATAGAATATATATACTAGTATAAATATTATATATTACATATAGTATATGTATATATACTAGTATATATAACACAGTATATGCAATATATAGTATATATGCTAGTATATACTAGCATATATACTATACACTCTATATATGGTATATACTTGTATATATATTATATATGCTACACATACTATATATAATAGTATATATACTATATATCACGCATATAATATAGTGTATATCTGATATATTACATATAGATATATAATATATAGTATATACTAGTATATACATTC